CAGTTAGGAAAAGGTAACAAAACCTGAGGACAAGGTCTTTATCTCTCTAAGGTTAAACACATACTCTAGCACAGTATTACTTAATAACCTTAACTAAAGACAAGTCATTTAGAATACTTGTATAGAGAGGGGATCTGGAAAGAGTATAGTGTCTAGAGTAAGAAGTATAAAGGAAAAGACTAGGAGAAAACCTGAAGAGATAAAAGGAAAATATTATACTTACTTGAGAAGAAACTATATAACTAGCTAGGAACACTTTGTACAAAGACAAAGGACTATTAAAGCTAGTAAAGAGTTAGAGCTAATACTCTGAAGCTCTATACTTAAGAAGAACTAGTACTAGTGAAGGAAAGGGAACTGAGAGCTCTAAGGAGAGACTACAGGAAAGTAGTCTCCTTTATACACTTTGCCTATACAGATAGGAAAGTAATGAAGTTATAAACATGAGGACTATATGAGGACAACATGAGGAATACATGAGACAATCTAGAACTTTGGTTGTAAGTTCTAGGATTGAATACAGAAGTACAAAGATAAGGCTAGAAGTTAATAAGGATAATTGTCTTCTAAACTAAGTCTATTGAAGAAGACTTAGGGAAAGATCTAGAACATTGGTTGTCAGTTCTAGAGTGTACACAAGACAGTCTAGAACTTTGGTTGTAAGTTCTAGGGGCAGTACAGAAGCACAGCCTTTTATATTACAGAAGTCATAAGAAGTCATTAGAAGTTATAATACTCTACCTTATGAGAAAGTGTATTACAAACTAGTGTACAGGAAGTACAGGTTGAGTCAGACAGAGTCATAGGAACAATAGAGAGCTCTACTTCATGAGAAAAGTATTACACAGCTTACACAGTATAACTAGTCAGGAGGACTCATAAGGAGTCATTAGAAGTATGAGAGGAAGTATAGAAGACATAACAATATAGTAAAGGAGTCATTATAAGATTAATCTAGAATACAAGAAGACACAAACTAGTGTCAGTAGATTAATAGAAGACACAAACTAGTGTAGTATACAGTCTAAAGGATTAGCCAGCTCTACTTTATAGGAACAATAGTAAAGAGAGTTACTAAAGTCACTAGAGTAACATTACTCTAGTAAAAGGTATATAAGGAGGCCAGTTTGGCCCTCAAAAGATAGTTTTATTAACTTAAGTTACCTAGTACTTGAAAGTACTCTACTACTAATCTACTAGGCTACACTTACAGCTTGACTAAAGTAGGACTCCTCTACCCTCTCACTCTACAAGTTTACAAGTCTTACCCTTTATACTCTATTCTGTTACTATTCCTAAGGATTAGAAGTAGTAAAGTAAGTATATCTTACAATAGGATGGGAATAGGTGGAAAAGAATCATAATTTGTATAAAGGTTTATATACTTATAGAATGTTGTATAGGCTTTTTTTTTTTTACAATTTTATTATAAATGGGAAGGAATGTAACAGAAGATTAGAAGTATGTAAATATAAAACATAACAAAGTATAGAGAACTGTGGTTGAACACAGTATTTACAGATTTACACAACAGTTAGGTGTTACTAGTAGGGAATCAATCCCTATGTTTTAGTTTCCTGTACAAGACTAGAAGGGTATATTGAAAAATTGTACACTCTCAGATCAGGAGTCTGTAACTTCTGTACTTGGTTCTACTTCAAGTATAACATCTAAAGTACAGTTGTCTAGATCCTCTATATCCTTACAACTAGTCCTATACAGTTCTGTATCTTCTAGTGTTAGTTCTACAGTCTTAATAAGATGTAAGATAGGAACTGTTAAACATGAATGTAGAAAATACAGAATTAAGCAAAATGCTACAATATGTAACTTAGCTACTACTCTGTCCAGTTCTGCTACAACATAAGTGTTTCCTTTTGTTCTTCACACTACTATGAACAGTCCAAAGTATTACAGTTTCATCTTTTGTCCTAAGTCATTACTCACTTTCAAATTGTAGATTAGTACTAGTATACCTGGGGCAAAGTTGTAATCCTTGATCCAATTACAATTGACTTCTGTGAAATGCTTTGTGTATCTTTTGTAGGCTTTCTGAATACATTCTATCATTTGTGTAAGGTTGTCTAGTCTCTTCTGTAATTGTTATACTTATATCACTACTAGTTCCTCTGTTGTTAGTAGTAATCCTTCAGGTGGAACCAAATACATTACCTTGTTCAGGTCAAACAGTAATATCAGCTCTACTCTATAAACAAGGTAATAAGGAGAATATCTAATTGCTTTCTGAATTGTAATCCACTCTACTCAGAACACAGAATGTATGTACTTATACTAATGTCTAATATTGTCTCCTACTGTCTTTACAATTACTTCCTGTATGTCCAAGTGTTTCTGCTCAATAATTCTGTTTGTGTAGGAGTTATATGTGGAAATCTGAATATGATTGATGTAGTATTGTTCTTACAAATAGTTCAACACTGTGACATAAGGTGTTATATTGTCTGTTACAAGCTTAGAACATACTCTGTATTAGTATAGAAGTTCCTCAAAGATAAACTGTCCTATTACCCTTCCATTCTCTGTGTAAAGTATGTGAAACTCTAGATACTCTGATAATGAACAATGTACATACACAATATATTAGAATCTTCCTACTTTCAGTATAACCTTTGTATCTATATGGATCTTTTAGAAAAGTAGTGTAATCTCTAGAATACTTGGTGGAATCAGTACTTGTTGTATCTGTCAAGTCTGACATATGTGACAAGTCCTAATAAAGTACTTAATGTCTTCTGTAAGAGATGGCTACTAGAACTAATCTAGTAAACAGGCTTGTACTACAAAGATTCCCTTGTGTCCTAAGTCTTTGTGTACTATCCTAACCAACTCCCATCTCCTGTCCTTATCTAGCACAATCCAATACTTTCCTTTAGGACCTTAACACCAAATCTTGTTGTTCTGTATAAAGAACTGTACTGTGTATTGTATAAATGTTGGAAAATCAGCATCTGTGATTCTGCTCAGTTTGTAGAGCAAGCTAAGATACTCTTTTACAGCCTTCAGTCTTACTTCCTACCTTTTAGTAGTTAGTGATTGTAGGAATTGTTCTACTATTGTATCTAAACCCTTAGTCTTGTTACTACAGATACTGTACACAACCCTTATCAGCTCTAGATTGTTACCTTCTACTTTGTCATCTGCTCCTTCTACCTCCTCAGTTTGCACAACTCTACAAGACTCTCCTCTAGCTTCCTGTTCCTGTAGTCCTTTGTCTGCTTCATCTTCTACTCTTCTGTGTTCTGGATTAGGTTGTTCTAGTGTTTCTCAATGTATCCAATTCTAGTTCTGTTTCAGAATAACAACTTCCAGGAATAATCTATATTACAGTCTGCTAGAATGTGTTGCCTGTGTTGTGTCCTTGTTTACTTGAATTGATTTGTTTATAATATTGTTGTGTGTCTCTCAGTGTGTTGTATTTAAAACCCAGGACTGTATTTCTTTACACTTGACTAACAAAGCTTTGTGTTCTGTAGACCTGTAAATCTCTAGCTAATGTCTGTTGTAAGAATAGGTATACTAGCCTTATGCAAAGATTCTCTCTTTACCAGCACACTCAACTACTGACTAGGATAATGTAAGGATAGGTATACTAGCCTTACGCGAAGATTCTCTCTTTACCAGCGCACTCAACTACTGACTGGGATAACCTAGTAATCGAGCGCCGAGAAGGAGAAAGAATCCCCTAACCCTTAGCTCGAAAACCCTTTATATATGCGTATACACGTGTAGTAGGATACAGGGTAGTCTAGTGAACAAAAAGGAAAACACCCACAAGCACCTACAACACATGTCGCGCAAATGCGCAGGTAGCGCAATCGTTACACTCGCCCTCCAGCATTTAGTCCTAAATGCTAAGGGAGTTAGTACCGGAATAAACGAAATAACAACACAAAAACGAAAGAAAACGTTAGTAACTTACTACGAAGTTCAGTACTGCTGCGCTAGGACGTTCTCCGCAGCCATGGATGTGTCTTCGATCGGTCCCGTAGTGGACTGGACGTGTTCCTGTCCGGCTTGGACATGTTCTGCAGCAGAACTGGTGGAACTCGCGGCGGATTGGTCGGAATGGCCATCGGATTGAGCGGAAAGCGGCGGATTCGGCAGTAGAGTAATGCCTTGAGTGTCGAATGAGCTCAGAGCACTCATATCGAGTACCGAAGTAAGATCGGTGGACGTCGAGGGCAATTGCGAATCGATCCGAGGACGTTTACGGTTGCGTGAGTGGAATATAGCGGTTCCGTTGTCGATTTGCTCAGCTCTACGCTTCGCACCTAAGTAAAACAGTAAGGTACATGCGCTCGTAATAATATAATGTAGAATATATGCGCATTTACCTTGGTTCGAAGCCATGTTCTTACGGTATACGAAGTCCTGGGACACTTGTATCATCTTAGCATGTTGAACGCGGTCTTGGAACGGTGGTAGCGGGCTCAGTCTCGCATGAGAAGGAACGTGGAAGTTATACAAGCGTAATACAATGAGATAACGCTCCGGGAGTTGCATAGTGGGGTCGAGGGAATTGTTGTGGATAGCCCTGGAGAAAGCTGCAATCTCCTTGAGCTCCTCTCGATCGAAAACGTAGTCAGTGCTTGTACTGTGGTCGTGAGTAACCCAATCCTGCGTGATTGGTTGCGCTCGAGGGCCAACTAAGAGTTGTAGAGGAGGATGAGGCATATTTGTGCCTTGTAGAAAAGCGGATGCGAATGTATGAGCAACGGATTCTTGAGTAGTAGACATGATATGCGCAGTAAAGTGACTATATGCGCAGTTTTTAAAGCCTTTGCGTATGTCTACCTGTATGTCCATGCTGTAGCATCGTGTTTGAAAGGTTGCCTCATGTTTTACTAGACTGATACTAACCTGAGGGTCATCGGTATCGAGTTTTCCCTTTCCTAGAGTTAGTGCATCGATAGAATCGATTCCAAGTATGTCTAAGTATTC